TAAATCATTACCATAATCTTCTTTAATATTCTATATACTTAATATTGTAAGCTTTTTTTTTATAATTTGTATTTTTTTTATAGTATCTTTTTTACGTAGTTAAGCACTGGATGATTTTAATCAAATCTAGCCGGTACTTTATTTTTTTGACGCTAAGCACTGGAGGGTTCTAACCTCAGTGATGAACCATTTAATTACGGCGGCCTATCAGTTAACGAGATCAATGCTGGCTTAAAACTTCAATTTTTTTAATTGATCTTACATTATTCGGTGTTATGATTTTGATTCTAAATGTGTCGTGATTGTCTTACATAGCCCAACAACATCGCATAATCGTTTTGTATATTACGCACTTTAAATCCAAAGTATCGCTAGATTGGTTGTGAGAGATCGTGATAATTTGCAAATCATATTTATATATATCGATTTTTATTTAATTGTATACTGTATTTTCTTCACTGATTCCCACCTCTTGATATTTAGCTGCTGGATCTGGAAGGTGTTTGCTTCTTCCGATAATACATGTATGTACCCACGAGTCCTAGTTGGATTGTTATACTTCGGTGGACAAAAGTCACCGGACACTTTTTTTGTGAGATAATCGTGTGGAAATTAATGAAAAAACTTGTATTGATGTTCTAAATACATAAATTTGAAATGTTCCGTAGTATGTTATACTGAAATTTCAAATTTTTATAATCGCTCTTCAAAATGTATGGTAAAATGTGTTAAAATATTATATTATGTCCAGGTCATTTTATCTACACATTTGTATTTTAGTTGTAAATTTTTAGATAGTGATCAATAAACTTCAAACCATTTTAAATCTACAAGCTTAAAATATAAAGCATAATTTTCATTAATCTTTGCATTATCAATAAAGTTGTAGTATATGCTATTTTTATGCAAATTATTGGGTTTTGAAATATTATATGTATCTTTTTAGTGGATGAACAAAAAGAGTTATCACATATTTCAGAATAAATGTCGGGCGTTCGGGTATTTATGGCCGCTACTGTATGTTATGAGAATAAAAAAATCCAGCATATTTGGCATCCTTATATGGTTGCATATATATACGTATTTAACAGAAATTAGAAGATAAAAATTAATTAGCTTTTATAAAAACATTTTCATTATCTTATTATATATTACAGTCCACCGGAAAGTAATGGCCGATTGACGTTTAAATTAACATTAAAATCACAGAGAATGTTTACTTCTCTGAATATCTATGGTAACTGTGAATCGATCGGCTGAACACTTTTTCATAATACTCTAAAACCAGTTTCTTAATAAAGTTTTCGAGATATTAAAGGTTTTTACAAACGGTTCGGTTAAGGTTTCTACTAAACAAAGCTCAATAATTCGAATACTACATTATTAAATCAGTTTTTACCCACTAAAAAAAATTGTTTCCCCAATCTATATCTAGCTAATTCCAAAAAATCAGCATAAAATACTAATTATTTCTTAAAATATTTAAAAAAAATAAAAAGATTAATCTTTGGAAATTTTTAATACATAAATTATTACATTAATATTAAAAAAATTATATTAAATATTAATATTTCTAGGATATAAAGCCTTATATATTATAAAAATAAAATTTTAAATTATATTATTATGTAAAAAAAATTATAATAAAAAAACTCTAGAGGCAAATTTCGATCGTGACTATTTTAGGTTTAGACTTAAGGTCGGGATCTTGATTGACCAATCAAATCGTGTAATTCAAAACGAACAAAACGTGACGCGATCGTGTGGCGAGTATATGGCTAAACCGATTTAAGGAAAACTATGCATGTCTATGTTTGGAAATTGATATGCATTATTAGCCAATGAAAATGAAGATTAGTTACATAGTAACGGGTAACGGTAAAATCTACTTAACGGTAATCTTGCTCATTTTACAGACACCAGGAATTCGCATTATCGAAACCTCTAAATTGGATTGCTCATATATTAAGAGCATTGAATCAACTACCATAAATAACATCATACGTACGTAAAAACATATGTCGATGACCCGCATTAGGAAAGTTTAACACATGACTCTGAAAACAAAACTTTCACACGCTTGCATAAATCCCAGAGATTTGCTAAATTACTCAACACCACTAATCACAATGCCCACTTTACTATTTAATAGAAAAAAGCGGGAATTCATTTCAAGTAACATAATAAATCTCAGAACATTGAGCTATCAACAATACAACAACAATTATCTTTACCTTTACCTGAGCACTACACCCCAATTATCATCATTAATCGATCGTTTTTTTAATATAACGTATACGACGATCATCGGGAGGGTAACAATCACAATAATTATTTGAACAATCGGGAGTGTCGAACCATAGTTAGTACACGTAACGGTAACGATTATCGAGAGGATAATCCCGACAATCATCCGGACAATTGAAGAGCATCGACAAAATGTACGTAACGATAGTAACTGTAAAAAAGGGGATAACAATCGTCTAGACAATTGAAAGACAATCGAACAATTAGTGTTTAGTCGTGTTAAAAGAAACCATCAATGTAAATTACTAATCTTAGAATTAGCATAGGATTAGCGTAGTACTTCGAAATTGTATATAGAAGCGTCTTTAAGTCGCTGAGAAGACATGCTTTGATCGTGCTTTAAAAAATCGAATAAAATAACAAAGTTCTTACTCGTAATAACGATATTATTTGTGAATACACTATTATTTTCTTTCGTTTCATGATCAAACTTCAAACCTTGTGAGTAATTGCAAGTAGTGGATGCTCCTGGTTCTCAATATAACGATAGCACGAATGACGACAATGAAAATACGTACTAAGAATAACAACACAACTCGAATGATGAATTTTTCAGGCAAATTCAGCAATTACACTTCAATATATGTATTATTTTTGAGTTTACATTAATAAATATTATTGCTGTATCAAAAATTTAACGTCAATGAAAAGAATTAAAATGAATTGAGCTACAGTTTCCCCGGAAAGTAATGCCGATTAACGTTTAAATTAACCTTAAAAATCACAGAAAATGTGTAGTTTCTGAAATTTTTATAGTGACTGTAAATCGATCAGCTGAACTTTTTCATGATAAAGTTTTTGAGATATTAATGGTTTTTTTCAAACGGTTCGGTTAGGGATCGCCACTAAACAAAGCTCAAATAATTCGAAAACTACATTATTAAATCAGTTTTGCCCATTAAAAAAAAATTATTTCACCGATCTATATCTAATTAATTCCAAAAAATCAGCATAAAATATTAATTTTTATTAAAATATTTAAAAAAAAAGCTATATTCTTTGGAAATTTTTAATAAATTAATTATCACATTAATATTAAAAAAAAATAGAAAAAATTATATTAAATATTAATATTTCTAGGATATAAAGTCTTACTTATATATAATATAAAAATAAAATTTTAAATTAAATTATTATGTAAAAACAAATTATAATAAAAAATCCGCCAGCCATTACTTTCCGGGGGGACTGTATTAATGTTTGCATTTAGTTGATTGGTAATTTTAATGCAATAAATTTCGCTGATCACATTCTGATAAAATGTTTGGTCGTCCAGGATGTGGAGAATCTGTTCTCTTAAATCGATTAATTGTATCATGTACTGTTTGCTTTGGAATAGTGAGAATAGATGCAATGACTGGAGTATTGCTTTCCATATGATACGCATTAATTCTTTGTTCACGGATAATATGAATAGAAAGACGAGTGAATAGTGTTTTTATATACAAAGTAAAACATTACGAGCAATACATGTACCGCACCATCCCGAATTAAACTCACACCGAAATTAAGCACACCCACGTTTTGTATAACAAAAAATAATTTTGTGAAAAATGAAATGATACACGTACATGTATTTACCGTTAATTAAATTATTTAAGAAATGCTCGAAATTAAGCACCCACCCTTGTCGTTATAATAAAAAGGGGTGCTTAATTTCGAAATAGTACGGTATATCGATATAAGCACGCATGTGTTTTTGTTAGAATAGTATTTTCTAAACATCGAGTATCAATGATAGATGGATGTGTTTCCTGAAAAAAATATTGGACTATTAACTAAAATTTACAAATTTTTCAATAAAAATTCGTAAATTCACCACCAAAAAGAAACCTGAACATTACTTGCTAATGGTCAACGGATTTCCTATTCCCACGAATAATTTACGTAATATGTATTAACTCGGTTACTGGAACGTTTAAAGCTTGATATACATATATTTATTATGTTGAAACCTAGTTTCACAATACGTAGTACATGTATACGTAAAATTATTAATGAAAAAACTTACATTGTATCTATGGTGCATACCATCTATAAACTTCTCAACTAAAAAGTAAATTCAAAATTTAATCCATAAATATGGTAAATTTTGAATTGAGAAGTTTATACATTTTATAAAATACAAAACGTTTGATGACTTTAGATGGTATGCACCATAGATACAATGCAAGTTTTTTGAGATTAAATTTGGAGTTTTCAGCTATCGTTATGTCTTATTTTCTTACAGCATCTTTACCATTCCCAATATCAATATATTAGTATGTATTCTGAACTATAAAATTGTATCTTATTAATTATTACTGTGTGCATTTGTGGCATACTGTAACTAATAAATCTTGCCTTCGTTTTGAATATACAAACCGACCCTGTAGACTTGATGTCAATATGTTATATTCAATAGTTACATTTGTTAGAGTTGTACAATATTTTAGTACGCATGCAAAATCAGAAAAATTTAATTGACCCCAAAAAATCGGCACAGAATTTATAACGTCAAAATGACGTAAAATTGGTTAGTCGTATGATCCTATGCAACGACACGCAGATATACATGTATAAACTCATTCGAATAATTATAAGCTAGCTGATTTTAGGTGAGCTTTGAAAATAAAGCTAATTTTATTGATAAGAAATTATCATAATTGAATTTATTAATTTATTAAATTATACTAACATATGCATTACATGTATTAAGCTCGATTTGATGCAGTCTGTCCAATGGTACCACCAGCGCCTCCAACACCTACACCAGCGCCTCCAACACCTGTACTACCAATAACAGCACCACCACCATTGGTAATACCACCTCCACCGACACCAACACCGTTACCACCATTAGCATTTGCAACTTGATTATTGGCTTGGTTAGTGTAACCATCCCACCACCATGGATTGGGCATTGGATAGGGCATGGGCATAGGGCTTGCGTCAGATGAAGCAATGAGGCAGATCGCCAAGAACAGAGCGAGACCAACGATTTTGTTAAAGGTAGTCATGATTATTTTTTTATTCGAGTTTCTTCTTTGGTGATTTTCGAATTTTTGTTATTTCGAAAGGTGAAGAATGAAAAGTTAGGAGAGCGAACGTTTCTTTTTATAAGAAAAGTTTGTGTTAAGCACAATAGAAATGGTGTAATTGTATTATTTACATCGTTTCTATTGTACACAGCCCACTCGCTGCTATTGCACATAGCCACTTGTTACTATTGCGCATAGCCAATTGTTGCTATTGCACATAGCCCACTTGTTACTATTGCGCATAGCCACTTGTTGCTATTTCATATAGCCAATTGTTGCTATTGCACATAGCCCACTTGTTACTATTGCGCATAGCCACTTGTTGCTATTGCACATAGCCACTTGTCGCTATTCCCAGGTTCGATAAATCCGATCCCTGATGATCGGTACTACATGTAGCTAATCTATCACGTGGTTTGTCCTCATGCTCGATCTCGATCGCATTACATGTACATGTATCATGTGCATTGTAATACGCACATTCAACTTCGGATTAACGGGAGTCACCATGTATTTTGTTTTTTTGTATTCTTTCTAAATACGTAATTTATTGGGGGATTTTGAATGGGGGGAGACACATTTTTAAAATAAATGCAAATAAACACCAGCAAAAATCGTTGCACATTCCATCTACAAAATAGTACAAAAAGAAAACTCATTACATGTAATAAATTGACAGATAAATACACGTAATTCAATCAAAATGATTTTCAAATGATATCACGTGTATTACCAAATACATGTACATGTATGGTCCAGTGAAAAAATGTAGATACACAAAAAATGAAGTGAATAATTATTTCTAATAAAAATCATACAAAATATTATAATTTTTTTATATTAAGTATATCTTAATATTACTTTTTATATTATTTTTAGTATTTTTATTAAAAAATAAATAAATCAAAACTTTTCACTTTTGAACAATAAAATTTGCAATTTTTAAAAATTAAAAATGATTTTTAGATATTATCATTATGAATTTCTATTTTTAGAAATTTATACTCAGCAAGTGCATTAATATATATATGATAAATATATATTTGAAATTTTAGCAAAATCGAATTATTGATTGTAAAGTAATTTGATATAATCTGATGCAATAATATAAATATATCACTTTGCTATTAATAAAAAAATTTAATTTTTAAAATTTAATTTTTTTATTAAATATAATATTTAAATTATAACTAATATATTTATATAATTTTTTTATTATCTCTTAAATCATCCAGCAAGCAAATTTGTTTCCTAAATTTTTTTTAACTAATTTTTGTACTTTTACGAATAATTTTTATTAGTTTAACCCCTGCTTTTTAAGCTAAAATAGTTATATTATTATGTAAAAAAAATTATAATAAAAAAAACCGCCGGCTATTACTTTTCGGGGGGGGGGGGGGGACTGTACATGTATTAAAAAATGATCATGTCGATATAAATAATGGATGAACACTACTGAATTTTTAAGGTTAACAATTTACTATATAAAATTCTATTACGTATCGGTATATATCGATCGATATTTCTTTCGTATGATTTAGACTTTTTGTTAGTGTTAGCGTTAGATGTCATGCAATTAATGAACATGCACACCTAACAATAAATACAAGTACGTATTACCGTTACGTACGTACTTGCTATGTAAAACAAAACAGAAAATTTTTACAGAATTTCAATACTTCATATTAACTAACTATAAAAAACGAGGACCCGATTTTGGATGTGGGGACTAAACAACATTTCCTTTTTAAATCATTTGATTTTCACACGTTATAATTACGAAGAAATCAATTGTATTGAATAATCAAGTTAATATCGGTCAGGGGTAATGTTCGAAAATTTTCTGGGAATTGTATTAATTAAGAGATCAACGAATGTATAAAGTATAGTTACACAACCTAATTTACTGTTCTAATTTGAACAGCAAGTTTTTTATTTTTGGTTTATTTAATTTGCAATATTTTTTGAAGTATCTTCGCTCAAAATAGTTCACTTTTTAAATTTTTGTTAATTAGATTAGTTAAAGATCTATATCAATACGTATGTTTGACGTTTTGATATCTTTTATTGCACAAATGTACATGTACTGTGATTCTTATTGAATGATCATCTCAAAATTCTCTCTTTTACTATTAAATTCATCACAAAAAAAATACTTATCTTAAAATAACTCTTGTTTTTACTAATATCCTTGACTTTCTTCATATATTAAAAAAACTTCATATAGAATTTATCTATTATTTTAAGAAAACAAATTAGTTAATATCTAAAAATCCTTTGAAGTATCTTGTTTCAAAATTGACCTATTACGTAATCATTTTAAATATAAAATCATTACTAAATCCAATAAAAAAATTAAATATACATGTACTAATTAATAGTTAAATTCAATAATTGCATTTTTATCATCATCATTTTAATCAACCAATACTTTTGGTCTGGAAGACAATGATTTATTTCATTTCAGTGACATTAGGAACAGTGAGTACTAAGTTAAGGTGATTCGAATTCATTTTCAAGAACTGATAGATTCTTTAAATTTGAGTATTTGGAGAATTGAATAAATTACATTTAGATGTGTAGCTACAATATAATTGACTGAATTGGTTGTATTTAACTTGAGCCGAGTTTTTCTTGACATTTAATTGCTTTTAAAATTCAACATTCTAGCACAAATACAATCTTTTGTATTTCTGCAAATTCTGGTTATAATTAATGGCAAAGAATGTTGCTTTCCTAAAGTGAAGTGCTAACAATATTTCAATTTGTTCGAAATTCATCTGAAATGGTTAATTACCATGTTCGTTGACTTCAGAGATGATTTATTTTTAATTAGCGGAGGCTGGTCTAATAATGACATTGCATTAACAATAACTGTCTTATATACTCTTACGCAGAATTACATACTATAATTTAAAAAAGAAATTCTACGCATTCTTTCAAATTTGCCATCCATTTTCCTTTGTTAAAAATCTAGAAGAGCTAACACTAATCATAAGTATAAGTGCTAGTGTATGCGTGTCGGAATAAAGTCTCCAAAACTAAATCAACTATACGAATTTCATAATGATAACGACAATGATAAACTCTTGCAAAAGCAAGTAATCAAACACAATTAAAATCATTGCATGAGCGTAGACTCATCGAACAAACCTGAATTCTGTTGCATACAAATTAGACATTGAGAATTTAAAGTTGTTTCACACTCCCTTAAACAAATTTTCGACAATTCAAAATCATCAAAGAAGAAACTCGAATAAAAAATAATCATGAATACCTTTAACAAAGTCGTCGGTCTCGCTCTGTTCTTGGCGATCTGCCTCATTGCTTCATCTGATGCAAGACCAAATGTCCACATTACTGGTGGAATCCTAGTAAATGCACTAACCAAGCCAATACTCAAATTGCGAATACTAACGGTGTTGATGTCGGTGGAAATAGTATCACTAGTAGTAATGTTGTTGTTGTTGGTAGTGTAGATATTGGAAATGGTGATAACATTAAACAGTATCAAATACAAATTATTAATTGAGTATAATAGATACACTCAACCCTCTCTACTGTCAACTGATGAATATATAAGAGAGTTGATAACTCAGACAGAGGTTAGAGTTAGTATCAATATATCAGTCCAAGTGAAATTTGCTCTGCAATAAATGTTGATATTGAAGAGGTATTGATATATTAAAGAAGTTGATAATAGAGAGGGTCGACTGTACATAGGAGTTTTGTTTATATATCAAATTAATAAATTTATATTAATTAAATTGGCGATAATTGCTATATACAGTACAGTGAAATGATAAATTTTCCTAATAAATTTAAACAAATTATTTTCAAAGCTCACCTTAAATCAATTAGAATATAATTATTCGAATAAATTATACAGTGACGCTCAAAAGTTTTACGAAAAAATCTAGCGTCTCTAATATTGATTTAATGCTCCTGGTTTCTATACTCGCTTTAAAGCTAATAACCTAGCAAAATATATTTTATTGCCATTTTAGACAAATTATGTATTTTTTATTAGTGAAATTTTGACATTAAATCTTTTGTTTTCAAGGCAAATCCTGAAAACTCCATTAATCAAAAATGTTCTCCTCCATGAAAACTACATGTATACCAATTTTCAGCTAAATCAGAGCATTGACTATCGAGATATAAGCTTCCGAATGTCAACATTATTTGAATTAATTTACTAATTGAAATTTCAACATTCACTTTATCTCCATGTCCAACTCTCTGATTTAGCTGAAAATTTGTATACATGTAGTTTTCATAGAGGAGAATATTTTTGATTAGTGTAAGTTTTCGGGATTTGCCTTGAAAACAAAATATTTAGGTCAAAATTTCACTAATTAAAAAATACATAATTTTCCTAAAATAGCAATAAAAATATATTTTTCAAAATTTTGCTAGGTTATTAGCTTTAAAGCAAGTATAGAAACCAGAGGATTGAATCGATATTAGAGGCGCTAAATTTTTTTTTCGTAAAACTTTTCGTGATGCAACCAATCAGATACTATATCGATATCAATTCCTAAAATTTATTACGTAATGTCCGACTTTAATTAGAATTTTCCATTTAATGTTTGTAACCAATCTGCATCATCTACCGAATTT